CAGCAGCCAGTAGCTCCCTGAGAAGCCTGTGTCTCCCATCGTAGATCCTCCTGCATCCCTGCTCCAGTCCAGCTTCTCTTCCTCACACCCAGCCATCTGCTCAGAGGCTGCACCAGCCTCCCCCTCGGCTGCTGGAGGGCCGGGGACGAGGGTGACTGAGCCAGAAGTGATTTGGTCACGGAGTCCAGGGCTGCCTCCCAGCTAGCTCCATATGGGGGCCTGGATCGGCCCTCCTTAGAACAAAGGGGCATCTTAAACCCAGCCAGAGGGTCCTGCCTCAGAACGATTCATCACTCACCAGCCGTCCAGAGCAACTGTGCAAATGCCCTCAGAGCCAGGAAGAAGCCTGTCAGCCATCAGACAGGGAAGGGGCGGCATGCCACTGGAGTTACGGGGTGCTCGGACTGCAGCCCTGGCTCCTCTGCCTGAGCCTCCCCTGGCTCAGTTTTCTCATCTGGACAAGGGGGCGACGTGGCCTCTCTCCCAGAGTCCTTGCAATGACCAAATCAGGTCATTTGCATAACGCTTTTGTGCAGGGTGCCCAGCGTTCAGCAAATGCTTAGCTCGAATGATTACCAACCAATTCAAAGCAGCCTCTTGCAAGGGCACCCTCCTCCAGAGGCACTGACATGTGGGATGGGGAATATTTTCCACTTGCCCCAAATATTGCCCCTTCCCAACAGCAGTGCTTCTCAGTCACGGTCCCCACCCCTCCTCCCAGCCGGCCACCTCCCCATGATACATGGTTCGTGTGGGCAGTGCACTTCCGGTTCACACAGATTAAACAAGAGCCACAGACTTTCCGCAGGACCAGCCGTTAAAGCGCATCCATCGTCTTTGTCACGCAAACACAGCACAGCCCTAGAGCTGGAACTCGCTGGCCTTCTCTCTCTCTCTTCCAAAACACATTAGCAGAAAGGCGAGAGGAGTGACATCATCACTGAGCTGACCCTGAGATCATGCAACCTTGTATTAAATGTTAGGGTCTCCCGATGCGACCCTCCTGCCTCTGCCTCCCAGCTACTGGGATTATAGCTGTGTGCCAGGGCGCCTCAAACCTGGGCTTCTCATGTGGCCTCTACTTGCCAAGCAGCAGTGACTCACGGGAGCTGCCACAATTGGGCCCCTACCATATATTTTTTTAAAAGCAAACTATTGGCACGTTTCAGAACTTTATTACTGGGATAGCAAGTTCTTATCCTACCCAGAAGGTTTGAAGCTTAGCACATATTTTAAAATTGCAACATGGGGACCAGCAGGTGGCATGGTGGTTAAGTCGCTGGACTCCTACACGGCCAACAGCAGTTCAAGTCCCAGACCTAGCAAGCTGAAAATCACAATGGGCACAAGTGTGTGTGTGCCCCAAATCCCAACAGTAGAACGGAGAAGGGATTGCGCCGTGGCCATCCACTCAGAGGGTGATTTCTCACTCTTCCTCTCCGTCTCCCTCTGAATGTCTCCAGTGAGCACACACGCCCTATGGCAAAAGGAAAAAAAAAAAAACATAAAAGTATGGCAACTGTTTATCTTTGCCATAGTACATGTGTGCATGTGCTAACCAGAGACAGAGAAAGTGAGAAATCATCCCACAGAGGGGATGGCCATGTCGCAATCCCTTCTCCTCCATTCTCCTCCTGGGATTTTGGGCACGCGCACACACATGATTCTCAAACTGCTGGGTCTGGGACTTGAATTGTGGCTGACCCTGTGGGAGTCTAGTGCCTTAACCACCACGCCACCTGCTGGCCCCAGCAACAGTTTATCTTTTTATTATTATCATTATTTTATTTAACTTTATTTATTCATTTATTTTTCATTTGACCAGAGAGTGAGCAAGAGAGCGGAAGTGAGAAAGCAAGCCACTAGGTCCAGGACTCGAACCATGGTTGGTGTTTTGGGAGTCCAGTGCCCTTAATCAAGCCACCTGCCGGCTCACAACTGTTTATCTTTAGACAGGAGAATCCTACTAGACAGACCAGTATGCTCACAGTACGGAAGGCACAGAAACTAAGGCACGTTGACTCACGAGGTGGATGAAGCTTTCTCTACCCCCTGCCTGAGTGTCTGGCTACATTCTTGTCAATTCATAGTCCAGTCAGTTAAGTGAGCATACAATATGATTCCACCACCACAAATCAGTGCTCTGCACCCCTCGGCCGACCCATGCGTCATGAGACCCAGGCCCTGGGCTGAGCCTGGATGACCATCTGGCTTACACAAAGGGAAGACAGGGACGTCCACTTACTTGCAGCCTGGATGCGTGCCTTCCGGCTGACCACCAGCCCAAAGCGGTTCTGAGCCACACACTCGTAGTCGCCCTCATCTGAGGGGCCGCCCCGCTCCAGCCTGAAGTGACGGATCAGCAAGGACCCGTTGGCCAGCAATGTGGAGTTGGTGCTCTCTGGCAGCTCCACCCCGTTCTTCCTCCAGGTCACTCGCACTGGAGGGGTCCCCTCCACCCTGCAGCCCAGCACTACAGGCTGCCCGGGGACTGCGACATCATCGCTCGGTTCCACAGCAAAGGCCAGTTCTGAGGAGTAGCCAATACCTACATCAGGGAGGGGAGAGGGAGGAAAAGGAGACATCCGTGTGAGGGGACAGCCCGGAAGAACGCCACAGAGGTTCCGAGTCCCTTAAGTCTACGTACCCTAACCCCACGTTTCTGCAAGTTTCCCCCCATATAATCGATGTATACCTTTGTGGACTCTAACATGTTTTTAAAAATTATTTTATTATTTAACTTTGTCGTTTCTTTATTTTAATTTGACCAGAGAGGGACAGAGAGAGAGAAAGTGAGAAAGGAAGCTGCCAAGTCTAGGATTTGAACCACAGTCGGCCATGTGGGAATCCAGTGCCCTGAACCACCACACCACCTGCCGGCCCTTCTAACATGGTTTTTAAGGCATGCATACAGTGCACCATAATCAAATCAAGGATAGACCCATATTCCTCTTCATTAACATTGAATCTTACACGATGTTGTGCACATCTGTTAAGAGTCCTATTAGTTGTGTGTGTGTGGTTGGCTTTTTTTTTTTTTTTCCTTTAATTTGCTGTAGGACAAGTATGCTCGTTGGGGAAAGAGACAGAGGTGAGGAAAGTGAGAAAGTACCCCTCAGGAGCAATGACCAACGCCACAATCCCTTTTCCTCCATTCTCCACTTGGGATTTTAGGTGTGCATGTACACGTGACCAGTGTATTTTTCACGCTGCTAGGTCCAGTATTTGAACCATATAGTTGGCCATATGGGATCCACTTTAACCACCATGCCACCAGCTAGTGCTAGTCATGCTACTTTTTTGTTTTGTTTTTTTTGAAAGGCTTTTGCTATAGGACACACGTGCTCGCCAGAAAGACAGAGAGAGCCAGAAAGAAATCAAGAAATCACCCCCCAGGGGGATGGCCACACCACAATCCCTTCTCCTCCATTCTCCTCTCCGGATCTTGGGCACACATGCACACGCGCCCGACATGAGTTTAAGCCACCGGGTCTGGGACTTGAACTGCGGTCGACTACATGGGAGTCCAGTGACAAAGTCATTATGCCAATTGCTGGTCCTGCTACATTTTAAGGTGCATGTACTTGCCAGAGAGAGACAAGAAAAGAGAGAGAGAGAGAGAGAGAGAAAATCATCCCTGAGGGAGGATGGCAATACCCTCTCCTCCACTCTCCTCTTGAGATTTTGGGCACACATGCACATGTGCCCTGTGTGATTCTTGAGCCACCAGGTCCAGGAGTCGAATCATGAAACTGACCATGTAGGATCCAGCTCCTTTACCTCCATATCACCTTCTGGTCTAGTCCTGTTAATTCTTTTCTTCTTTTAAGAATTATTTATTTAACTTTATTAATTATTAGAGTTTTTTTTTTTTAGAGGTTTTTGCTATAGGGCGCATGCACTCACCAGAGAGACAGAAAGCAAGAAATCACCCCCAAAGGGGATGGCCATGCCACAATCTTTTCTCCTCCATTCTCCTCTCGGGATCTTGGGCATGCACACATACGCGCCCGGCCTGAGTTTAAGCCACTGGGTCTGGGACTCGAACCACGGTCGACAACATGGGAGTTCAGCGACATAGCTATTGTGCCACTGCTGGTCCCAATTACTAGTTCTTAATTGGGGATAGGGCAAGTGCGTGCATGTGAGAGAGAGAGACGCCTGGTTCGGGATTCAAACTGCGGTGAGCCATGTGGAAGTCCAGCACCTTAACCACCATGCCACCTGCTGGCCCCCTGCTATTTTTTTTTTTTTAAGAATTATTTAACTTTGGGGGGAATCAGCAGTTAGCAGCAGTTCGCGTCCCGGACCTGGTGGCTTAAAACTCACGCCGGGCATGTGTGCGTGTGTGCCCAAGATCCCGAGAGGAGAATGGAGGAGAAGGGATTGCGGCGTGAACATCCCCCCTGGGGGGAGTTTCTCACTTTCTGTCTCTCTGTCTCTCTCTGTCTGTCTGGCGAGCACACGCGCCCTATAGCAAAAACCTCTCCAGAAAAAAAAAATTATTTAACTTTGGGACCAGCAAGTGGCATAGTGGTTAAGGTGCCGGGCACTCCCACATGGCTAACCACGGTTCGAGTCCTGGACCTGGTAGCTTGCTTTCTCACTTTCCTTCTTTCTCTCTGTCAAGTTCAAAATAAATTAATGAATGAACAAAATTTAAAAAAAGAATGATTTAACTTTATTTATCCATTATTTGTTTATTTTAATTTGACCAGAGAGGGGGAGAGAGAGAGAAAGTAAGAAAGCAAACCACCAGGTCCGGGACTCGAACTGTGGTCAGCCATGTGGGGTCCAGTGCCCTTAACCACCATGCCACCTGCCGCTGCCCCCCATAGGTATTAAATGGTCCATACTTTTCCCTCTGCTGTGGTATGCCATCCCGTGGCCTCTCCCCTTCATCAGCAGCCTGTCTCGGCGTGTTAGCAGGGATCCGGTACGCCCAGAACCCCGTGTACTGCACAGTGCCGCCACCTGCATTTTTTTACTTAACCTCAGATCCTCTCGGAGATGGAAATCATTTGTTTCATTCCTTCTTTCACAGGTAAGAAAAGCGAAGCCCAGAGATGTGAAGTAACTCGCGCAGGGCCTCGGGTAGTAGTTGCCAATCTGAGACCTAAAAGTGAGACTGACTGCACTGCCAATGCCCCTCCTGCACTCACCCCAGGGTGTGACCTTAGGTGAGGAATTCCACATGTCCTGGCTTCCCATTCCAAATGTTTCCAGAATGTTTCCACCAGGAGCACCAATGCACTAATGCACTCGAGTCAGTGTTGTTCATGATTGACAAGCTCAAAGGCACTACAGAAAGTTAAAAGTTCTGAAGGAGGGCCGGCAAGTGATGCAGAGGTTAAGATGGCTGGATCCCACATGGCCAACCTAGTGGTTCGAGTCCTGGACCTGGCAGCTTGAAAAACACAACGGGCACATGTTTGAGCATGTCCAAAATCCCAAGAGGAGAAGGGACTGCAGTGTGGCCATCCCCTCTGGGGGGGTGATTTCTCACTTTCCCTCTCTCTTTCTCTGTATCTCTCTCTATCGAGTGCACACGCCCTAGAGAGAGTAATAAGTTATGCTGCTTTTTGCTCACAAAACCATCAGAGGCCTGGTCTGATGCCTGATAAGGAGCAGGGTGTATGGTCCCAGCACCACCTGGGGTGCAGGCTAGGCTGTGTCCCCTGCCTCCGCTGGCTGCTGGTGCTTCTCCCTGTCACAGATATGAGGAGCAGCGACACTAATGAAGATTGCCCAAAACCCAGGAAGAAGGTCTTCTTAGAACCTTTCCTCCCAGCAGACCTCACCCAGCCTGCAGGAGAAGAGGAGAAACGAACTGGAAGAGGAGGGGAAAGAAGAGAAGGACCAGAGGCTCATCAGGGAATCAGACGCAGACGCAGACGGTGCTTCTCCCTGTCACAGATATGAGGAGCAGCGACACTAATGAAGATTGCCCAAAACCCAGGAAGAAGGTCTTCTTAGAACCTTTCCTCCCAGCAGACCTCACCCAGCCTGCAGGAGAAGAGGAGAAACGAACTGGAAGAGGAGGGGAAAGAAGAGAAGGACCAGAGGCTCATCAGGGAATCAGACGCAGACGCAGACGGGAGAAACGAGCACTCATCCCAGGCACGATGCCAAGTTGCCAACTTCTCCAGCAGGCAACTTACCAGACCAGTTAGAACTTCACTCCAGGAGGAATGAACTCCCCAGGTCTGAAAGAGCAGCCCCAGACCCCTCCTCACATTTCAGGGAACTAGCCGGCCGGTCGGCCCCTCCCCAGCAGACCAGAGCTGTCCGCTGGCTAGGAGCGATGGAGTAGGCGGGGTCGAGGAAGGGGCGCTGTGGCTGCGGGCATCCCGTCCCCGAAGCGACACGAGATGTTTCAGGACGTTTGAGGTTCCAGTCCTTGCAGCCCAATCACCCTTCCCGTGGCTAAGGTTGGGGGCCCCAGCCCCCCAGTCCAACCCCAGTAAAGGGGTGGAGCTTCTCCTCGGTGCAGCCGCAACATTCTGCTTCTCGGGAGGGGAGAGGAGAGGAGCAGCCCAGATGAGTCTGCTGAGAACTCGGGGAGGGAGGGGACGAACTAGGCGTGCACCCCTCTTGGGATGGGCTCATTCCAGCGCTGAGGGGCCGGTGTGGTGTCGGGGCTCAGGACAGCAGAGCCTGCGGGCGCCGCGAGCCGGGGGCAGGGCCTCTGCGGGCGCACACGCGGGC